TACTTAGTTTCTTGTATGTATGTATCATTATTCAGCTAACTAATATTGATGGTATTTTACAAATATAAAGATACTTGAATTAATTTTTGTTTTTCGCTTAGAGCATGGGACTGCTTTGTTCGCTGCCTGGATCACGCTTACCTGGGCCCCCTGCTCAGTCATGTCATAGTAGCTTTGTTACCTCTTATACACATGCAGCCTAAAGAAACTGCTGCTATCTTTCACTACCTCATCATTGAAAACAGGTATTGAAACTGAAAATAATCATAAAATAGTAATTTTTATATGTATGTATGTGGGGGTGTGTATGTGTTGTGTGTGTGCACAGATGCGTGTGCATGTGTAGAAACCATTGGTTGTCTTCCTCAATCGTTCTCCACCTTATTTGTTTGTTTGATTGAAGTATGGTCTCAGTATGCTGCTCTGGCTGTCCTAGGACTCATTATATAGACAAGATTGGCCTCAAACTCAGAGATCTGCCTGCCTCTGCCTCCTGAATACTAGGGTTAAATAACACCACCTTGTATTTTGAAACAAAGTCTTTCAAAAACCTGACTGATTCCTCTAGTTTAGCTAGCCAGCAAAGCCACAAAGCCCCCCCCCCCCCCCCCCCGTCTTTGTTTCTTTGGCACTGGGTTATAGGCACATGCTTTCCTCTGGTTACTTGGGGATACAACTCATGTCCTCATGCTTACACAGTAAGTGCTTTACCCAATGTGCATATCTCTGCAGCCCTAAGACATTTTGAAATCTCAAAGTATCAGCATTACTTTGATAATATGGAGTTACTATTTTAAAATGTAGAGTCCTTAAGTAAATTAAAATTATTGGTATATAACTATTTATTGAATAGATGGATTTTCAGTGATTGTTGTTTCTATTTTAAATGATTGATTAATAGATCAGTAATTAAATTTTTTTTCACTGATTTTCAGTTGGTAAAGGTAATTTTACCTTTCTTCTCAAGTAAACTAGGCACCCTGAGGAAGGCTAGAAGAGATATTCATCACTTTCTATACCACACCTACTAAGATACTTGGAATTCCTTATTTCATCACATTAGCCTTTGAAAACCAGTCTCCCTTGCTTTAGATTTTTATGGCATTTCTGTTCCTTTTTGTTGTTGTTGTTTTTAAATCATCTCTTTACATGTATTATTTTAGCATGGAGCGATAGTCTCTGGTTCTCTGTGTTCTAACTATTGAATTGCAAATTGGTTAACTTGATCTTTAAAGCTGGATACATCTTAGAAATTTTTTTTTCTACTGATTTTCCATTTCCACTGATTATCAGGACGCTTTAGCAAACCTGTACTGGTGACAGAACAAACCATACCTTATCCCCACTCAGTTTTTCCTTCAGACTGCTTCTTATGCCAAAATATCTTGCAGCACATTTCAAGCTTTTTTTTCCTGTTACTTAACTAACTGCTATATATCGTAATTCTCTTTTTTTTTTTTTTTTTTTTTTTTTTCTTAAAAGTTGGGATGAAGGGCTGGAAAGATGGCTCAGCAGTTAAGGGCAGTGACTGCTTTTCCAGAGGACCTGGGTTCATATACCAGCACCCATATGGCAGTTCACAACTGTCCGTAACTCCAAGATCTGACACTTTCACATAGACATACATGCAGGCAAAACACAGTGCACATAATATGAAAGATACAAGAGACGTTAGGCTCCGTAATTTACGCACTACACACCTGCCCACCCTATGCTGTTGCCATTCCTTTCAGTTATCCCAGTAGCCGTTCGGGCATGAAGACGCAGAAGGAACGATTGCTATCTCTTTATCCATCTTGTTGTTTTCCACAGTAAAATCACGAACATCACTTTGCACATCTCTTTTCAGTTGTTATACAAATATACATATGCTCATTGTTGTGGATTGTAGAATAATTTTTTTCTGACTTTTTCACATCTTTTTTTTTAATATTGACTTTTATTTTTTTAACAGCATTTTTTTAATATTTATTATTTATATGGTATTCTGCCTGCACACCGGAAGAGGGCACCAGATCTTGTTATAGATGCTTGTGAGCCATCATGTGGTTGCTGGGAATTGAACTCAGGACCTTTGGAAGAACAACCAGTGCTCTTAACCTCTGAGCCATCTCTCCAGCCCCACTTTTTCACATCTTAAGACAGATTTTCTTTCACTTGGTGCTAGGTGGGCCCTCCACCCCCCGAGTGAATGAATTGTTCTGGGTTTGTTAATTGTTTCATCCCATGTCTAGCACAGAACTTAATATCTAACAGCACACGTGGTAGCTATTTATATTTTTTTCATGCATTAAAAAAGACTAGAATTAAGAATATATTTAAACCTAGAAAGATTATGTATTATAATTTAAGCAACTAAAAAGTTAAACAGCATCAATAAAGATTGTTAGCATATTTTTATCTAAAATTTCTTTATGAAAATTTATATTTAGGGATTGATTTTCTGCTGTTAAAAGTCGCTTTACAAGTGGTGCCTTAGAACACTGAACACCTTTATTTACTCATAGTTTGGACTGAGTTCAGCTTGTTATTTCTTCTGTTGGTCTCTGGTGTGGCCACATTTGGCTAGAAGGTAGACTGAAGTGGACTCCTCCCTGATCATGTAATGTCAGAGCCCTTCTTTCTGTGTGTCCTGTCCATGTTGATTGCCAGATTTCTTGCCTGGTCACTCAGTATTTTTCTGATCACAAAAATTTGGAAACTGTCAGACCTAAGCCCTTTTCTCTCCACACTGTATCTTCTACCACATGTATTTAGCAAATACAAAGCATATGTATTTGGTACATGAATTCTTGTACCCAGTCTAGGTTAAAGAACAAGGGGAAATATATATTAATGTTGTGTTCTATATAATTATGTTCAATATTAAAAATAACTATATATTAAATATAGTTCACCTTGTTTTATATATGTGTATGTGTGTATATGTTGTATGTATATGAATGTGCATACTGAGAAGCATGGTTTCTAGTGGACCCCTGATGTGACAGACAATCAAGGATGATTTTCTTAGCTGTGGTAATTTACCATTATTAAATGTTTTAATTTGTTTATTTTTATTTGATACTAGAGATTGAGCCCAGGTCTTGTGCATGCTAAGCAATCACTACACACTGAGGTATTCCTAGCACAATTGCTAGTATTAATATAGTTGGGACCCTGCCATGGCCAGGAAGATTACTTTGCATGTTAATATCACAATGAGCTTTTAAGTGAATTTTATTAGCTTTACCTTCAACTTTTGCTTTACACTCATATTCTTGCTAATATTTCTCTCTAACTATTAGGGATGCTGTACAAGATTTTCTTCATGAAATATATTTTTTGCCTGATCATCCAGAATTAGAAAAGATAAAAGCAGTTCTCCAGGAATATAGAAAGGTATTTCATTAATTTACTTGTGATATAGAAGATTTTTTTTCTTATTTATTTATTACAATTTATTCACTTTTTATCCCAACTGTAGACCCCTCTCTCATCCCCTCCCAATCCCACCCTTTCTCCTTCTCCCATTCCCCTCCCCAAGTCCACTGACAGGGAAGGTCTTCCTCCCCTACCATCTGACCCTAGCTTTTCAGGTCTCATCAGGATATGGACGATCTTAAATAAAAAATTGTACCTGAATTCCAGTACACTAAAAAAGATTAAAAGAAATATTATTTACTATATTTACTAGCTTTACAATCAAAGCTAGGTATAGTGGTTTATGCCTCTAATCCCAGCATTCTGAAAGCAGAGACAGGAGGCCAGACAGTCTTTAGTGAGTTCCAGCCAAGGCTACATAGAAAAACGCTGTCTTTAAAAAAAGAATAATGTAACCATGGTGATTTGGGAGGAAATCTTTGTTATTAATTTTTTTTTTATTTTGTTTTGCTGTGTGTGTGTGTGTGTGTGTGTGTGTGTGTGTGTGTGTGTGTGTGTCAGTCTCTTATAGCTGAGGCTCTCTTCATATACACTATGCATCTGAGGCTAGTCTTGAACACCCCATCTACCTGCCTACCATTCCAAGTGCTGGAATTCTGGTTATGCACTATTACTACATCCTATGTCCGTGAGACACACGTTAGCATTAGCTAGAAGCCACTCTCTCTACATTCCTGAGTAGGAAAGTGTGGGATTATTCTAGTTATGTCATTCTATAAATCATAGTATCACTATGATTACACTGTGATATCATTATGTTAGATCTAAATAATTGTTGATATCTTGAAATCTTGCTTACTTTCTGAAATTATGAAAATACTATGATTTCATGGAATTTCAGGACAGAATCTAGAACACTTTTAAGTAGTGAAAGGATAGAGTAGAATTATCTAGAGTCCACAGATGTTCCTCAAGAATCACTGTAGACTCCATAAATTAAGGAAAGCTTGTGCTGCTGCTTCTTTTTTAAATTTAATTGTATTTATTACAATTTATTCACTTTGTATCCCCGCTGCAGCCCCCTTCTTTGTCTCCTCCCAGTCTCGCCCACCCTCCTATGCCCTTTCCCTAGTCCCCTTATAGGAGAGGACTGCCTTCCTTTCTGTCTGACCCTAGCTTATCCTTATCCTTGATGAGATCCTAGAAGCTGGCTGCATCATCTTCCTCTGTGGCCTGGCAAGGCTGCAACCCCAGGAGGAGGGGATCAAAAAGCCAGCCACTGAGTTCATGTCAGAGACAGCCCCTGTACCCCTTACTAGGGAACCCACTTGGAAACTGAGGAACCAAAGGGCTTCCTTTGAACAGAGGATCTAGGTCGTCTCCATACATGGTCCTTAGTTGGAGTATCAGTCTCTGCAGTGCCCCGTGGGCCCAGAAATTTTGGCTCTGTTGTTCTCCTTGTGGAGTTCCTATCCCCTCCAGGTCTTTCTATCTCCCTCTTCTTCCATAAGGATTCCAGCACTCAGCCTTAGGCCACCCACCTGCCCAAACACACCATCTGTGAATACCTTCCAGGACAGGCAGCAGTGGAACACGTGCAGTCCTGATCCCACAGCCTAGGCCTTCTTTTTTTAAATCCATGTTTCCCCATTACAATACAGACAGGCACAGTGGCCTAGGCTGAGGTGTGCATGGTGTAGGTTTATCCTGCTTCTCCTTTTTATACAGGCAGTATAAGACTATAGCGTATGGTAAGCACGAAGAGCTCCCTCCTTTTGAAAAGGTTTATTTATTTATGTATATGAATGTTCTGTCTATGTGACAGAAGAGGGCATCAGGTCCCATTATAGATGGTTATGAGCCACCATGTGGTTTCTAGGAATTGAACTCAGGACCTCTGGAAGAACAACCAGTCCTCTTAACCACTAAGCCATCTCTCCAACCCCAGAAGTGACCATTTTGATTATATTTTGTTTTTTTTTTGTTGTTGTTGTTGTTGGTGGTGGTGGTGGTGGGTTTGTTTTTGTGTTGTTTTTTTTTTTTTTTTCAAGACTGTAATTCTGGCTGTCCTGTAATTCACTCTGTAGTCTCAAACTCACAGAGATCCACCTGCCTCTGCCTCCTGAGTGCTAGGATTAATGGTGTTTGCCACCAAAACCCAGCTTGTACTTTTTATCAAGAAGCACTTGTATTAGATAAATAAGTTTTTATTCAATTGGAAGAAAATCTCTATTTATAAAGATTTAAGAATAAAAATAATTTTCTCAAAAAGATACTGATGACATAGACTTTACAAAGAAAGGGATTAAAATTTTTATTTGGGTTATAGTTTAGCTATTTCAATAACTGGTTAGTTGTGTATAGAGAATTCAGGCCTTTCAAAGGTTAAGATAGTTAATAAGGTATGTTTCTCTGCTCTCTGTATAGGAAACGTCTGAGAGTACTGACCTTCAAACCACTCTCCAGCTATCCATGAAAGCAATTCAACATGAAAATGTAGATGTTCGTATTCATGCTCTGACCAGCTTGAAGGAAACCTTGTACAAAAATCAAGTATGTTAAAGTGGTATAATTCAGATTATAAGAAAAATGTATTGGGAGTTTAAAGAAAAGACAATAGATTGGCATTTTGTTTGATAACTCAAAAGATTTAGTCCTCATGCTTGCACATTTTTTTACCTAGATTATCAGATCTGAGTGAAAATTTGAGCAATCCATGAGATAGGTGCCCATTAGCTTCAGTCTCAAAAAAATTCCAGAGTTTTTTGTTGTTTTGAAGGGTCCTGATTTCATAGTTGTACTTTAGATTACTGCATTTCTTTGAATTTTTAAAAATTATTTTTATTTATGTGACAAGTGTATGGTACATTCTCATGTGTTCAGGTTTCTTCCTCTATCACTTTCTGCTTTTTTTTTTTTTTAAGATTTATTATTTATACAGTTCTCTGCTTGTGTGTATGTGTACATACCAGTAGAGGGCACCAGATCTCATTATAGATGGTTATGAGCCACCATGCAGTTTCTGGGAATTGAACTCAGGACCTTTGGAAGAGTAGATAGCGCTCTTAGCCGCTGAGCAATCTCTCCAGCCCCTACTCTCTGCTTTTAAAATGGTCTCTCACTAAACTGGAAGCTCATTGTTTAGGCTAGGTTGGCTGTCTACTGAGCTTTTAGTATCCTTCTGGCCAGCCATGCAAAACTGTGTCCCACTTTTTAAAGGGAGTGTTAGGTGTTTGAACTCAGGTCCTTTTATAGTTAGCACTCTTAATCCACTGAGCCATCTCCCCAGCCTCAAAGACTTCTCATAGTAAGGATGTATTAGTACATCAGCAGTTTATGCGCATCTTCTGATGTAACTGCCATTGATGTCTGTCATAAAACTGTTAGTAATTTTATTCTTTTATAATTGCAATGAGAGAACTTTATTAGTTTTTGTTTATTTGGTTTTGAGTAACCCAAGCTATCCTCAGACTTCGAGTAGAGCCAAATATGGCCTTGAAATCATTGTTTGCTTGCCTCAGTTTCTTAAAAGATAGAATTAGAGGCTTAAACCACTATATCTGTATTTCTCTCTTTCTTTCTTCTATCCTTCCCTCTATTTCTTTCTTCCATCCTTCCAGTTATGCTACTCATATTAAAGGAATCTTTTTGGGCAAATTTCGGAAGGATAAGAAGATAAGAAGCCCAAATTAACTTTTGATGGGAATGTAGAATTCTGTATAAAAGTCATGTTTACTAATTATTTCAAAGCAGAGAATTCATTGAAAATAAAATGCTAGATTGTCCTGGAATAAAAATAAATGTCTGAATCAGTTCTCAAGCTCTCCAACAACAAAAGTAGCAACAAGGAGCAGAGCAGCAGTGGTACATGCCCTTAATCCCAGTGCTCAGAAGGCGGAGGCAAGCAGATCTCTGAATTGGAAGCTAGCTTGGTATGCAGGGTCGGGTCCAGGACACCCAAGGCTTCGCAGAGAAACCCTTTCTCAAAAAAAACAAAAAGGAAAGTAGCAAGAAAGAGAGCACATAAATCCCAGCATAATCCACTCCTTAAAAATCATTAAAAGACAGGATCCTGAGAACTGCAGATTCAGAACAATCTGTATAAAAGGAAGGAGTACCAGAACTAGAAATGAACGGAAGGATGGCTTTGCTCAGTGTAACAACACTGGAGACGCCTTCCAGCACCTTAGAAAAGATACTGGAAAGTATGTAGATGCGAAGGTCTTAGACAGTTGTTGTCTCGTGGAGAAAGTATGCTTTGGATACCTTGTTATAAAATGGGGAAGACTTAAAGATCTTGTAGAAATAAACTTATAAAATCCTACCTCTGATGCCAAAAAGAAAAAATGTGATGCTTTATTTTTAAACCATTAACTTTACCATGCTGGCATAGGTATACATTTATGAAAGGAAAGTCTTAAAGCCATTACAAAATGCTTATTGTTAGAGCCTATATGGAGGGTTCACAATATGAATAGAAAAATTACATATGAGAAAGGCAGGTGTGGTGCTGCGCACCTTTAATCCCAGCACTAAGGAGACCGAGGCAGCTGCATCTGTGAGTTTGAAGCCTGGTCTACATAGGAAGTTCCAGGCCATCCAAGGGTATTTAGTAAGACTGTGTCTCAAAAAGCAAAGAACAAAATAAAGAAAGTGAAAAAGAAATCTAAGCGTGGCGATTTAATCCTAGTACTTAAAAGGCTAGGTGAGGCAAGAAAAACTGCCTAAGACCAGCCTAAGGTACAGTGTGAGAACCTATCTCAAAGAAAAAAAGTCTTTCAGTTTGTGACAGTTCTTTCTGAAAAGCAACCAGAAAATAAAAGGAAACTTGATTTAGCACTGTAACCTAAATTTAAAATTTCAGATGTTTGCAAGTACAAAAAAATTTGAGAATTTTAATTTTAATCATAAAGTGTTGGACAGATGGCTGTTTAACAGTGCTTGCTATGGGTCAGGAAGACCAAAGTTCAGATCCCAACACCAACATAACAAGTCGTGCATTCTATGTATGCCTATAATCCCAGCTCCGAGTTGAAGGAGAAAGAGGGATCTCTGGAGTTTACGGGTTTTCAACCTAGCCTAGAAAATTTGAACTCCAGGGGCAGGGAGACCTTGCCTCAAAGGAATAAGTAGAAAGTGATGGAGAAGAACATCCAGTGCCCTCTTCTGGCCTCTGCATGCTATATGTACATATATTCACATTGCATATACACACACTAACTCACTCACTCACTGATGAATGAGTGAGAAAAATAAAATTAAGTAGATGAGATTAAAGGACCTAACCAAGAAGAAATGAACCACAGGTGACTGAACTTAGGAAGTCAATTGAAAAAAATGAAGAAATTATGGACTATTAGACTACATTTGACTAAAAAATTCAAGTGTCATTGATAAGGCATTAAAGATGATTAGTATCGTAAGATACCAAAACAATAGAACAGAAATAATATTTAAAACTAATTCAAGAGAGCTTAAAATATCTATTTTAAATACTGAAGTAATCTATTTAATACAAAGAAAATACCAAGTAATCATATCAGATAAGTCATAGGCTTTAGTAATATAGAAAATTCAGAGTTTCTAGACAAAAAAAAAAAAAAAAGACAATGAAAATTTGTTTAATTTTTTTAGCTTTTATTTTATTTTTTGACCTGCATGTATGTGTATGTAGTGCATGCATGCCTGGTGCCAGCATATGTCAGAGCTGGAACTGGAGTTAATGGAGAGTGTGAATTGAACCTAGATTTTCTATGCCAGCAGCAAGTACTCTTGAGCCATCTTACTCATACCCCACGCTTTTAAAATTCATTGGCAAGGGCAAGGAAACTAGAAAGATAGGGACCTAGAGACTCTGTTTCAAAAAAAAAAAAAAAAAGACTCCAGCTGTGCTTAGAGTGTAACCGTTAAGAACACTGTTTTAAATACAGAAGAACTGAAGAAACACTATTTTTACAAGTGAGTCCTTTGTAAGACATTTATTTGAGGATGGGTTTTATTTGGTCTAGATTCAAAGTAGACTCTGTTAAAAAAAAAAAAACTGATAACTACTATTTATATATTTAACTGATTTAATTGGAAATCTAAGACAAAATACATGGGCAAAAGGAGAATCTCTATGAATGTTATACATTCTAGTAAATAAACTCAGTGATTGTTACATGAGCAATAACTAGAAGTAAAAATACATGTGTGTCATATACCATTTAAAGCTGGCAAACTAGGTAAATGCTTAATAGCAAATAAGCACTAAATGATACTACCTAAAAGGTAATTCTTGAGCAATAAAGATGGCTTAGCAGTTAAGAGCACGTACTACTCCTGCAAAGCATACTGTGAGGTATATTATATAAAGTCATCAAAACTAATTGAAAAGATTGAAGATACAGGTATTTAATTTTATCTATACTAATATTTTTAAGTTCTCTAGTTTAGGAAAACATGCTGTAAGAGTTCTATATAAACTTCCTACATTTATTTTAGGAAAAACTGATAAAATATGCAACTGATAGTGAAACAGTGGAGCCTGTTATCTCACAGCTGGTGACAGTAATTTTGAAAGGCTGCCAAGATGCAAACTCTCAAGCTCGCTTACTATGTGGGGAATGTTTAGGAGAACTGGGGGCAATAGATCCAGGACGATTAGATTTCTCAACAACAGAAACTCAAGGAAAAGATTTTACATTTGTGGTAAGTAATGGTAATTTTGAGTGATAATATTTCTCTGAGTTGTTTTGTTATTTGTTGTTTTATTCGATTTTTTTTCC